CGTAAGAGGTCTACGATATCAGAAATAGAATACCTCGCACGGAACAAAGACGTYAGTAGATCAGAATAATAAGAACCCTGTGTARAYTTAGTACCGAGAGCTACACAGGATCTAATCAGGTCTACTGAAAGCTCACGTCGGAGCGCGAGAATCTTAATCTTATCTTAATCTTATAATTTCAATTTTCATACAGCACACTTAACACCTACTAAGAGTACACGTAATCTCGTGCACCAACAAGTTGAAACCTGGTACACATTTTCCAAAAATCTTCTACTATAATTTGTGAACAGTTCTTGTTGTTCTTCTTGCATTGGCAGCAATATACTACTACTACTAGTGCTCCTAATTTGTTGCTGCTGGGAAGAAGAAGCTCTTGTTAAATGCATTCCCTTCTTGTTGTGACTTACTAATTCTTTTCAGGTTCTTTGATGTGTAATAGTTTCTGTTATTCATATGATTCTTGTGGACATTAAAATTTACTAGCCTTTGCTAGTAGTACAGTGTTTTGAGAAACTAAAGTGATTACTTTATCTGTTCCTGAATGAGTGTCCCTTTTGCACCTCTACTACTGAAATAAGAAGCTCAATTTTTGGTCAATTTGAATTGTTCTTTTTTATTCTAGTATTGATCTTGTTGTTTAGTTCTACTATTTGCATGTGTTATGCCTTTTGTTAATGTCTTGCTCATAGTAAGACTGAAATAAGCCTTCAAAAACMGTCTTGTTAAAATCAAGTTATTTTGAAGTAACTGGTTGAAAGGGTTCTAAAGGTCATTTTGATATGCCACTACTACTTGCACATGTTAGCGTAGATAAAGTATTGTACAAGCCTGTTATTTGCATTGCTAAGAAGGGTTTTTGTGTATGGTGGTGTGTGTTTCATTGTCAAAATTGCTTTTGCTGTGTTAATAGTATGTGTAATTTCATTTGTGAAAAATAAATTTTAGTCAAACACATTCTCATTTTTTTCTATGGTACTGATTCTATGTGTTGTACACAGCCATATTTTATTTTTTTCATTGAGATAAATGAAACTATTCATGAGTGTTAATTAACTTGAGGACACCCATCTTGGAACAGCAAAAAGGGGTCATAAGTACACTCATTTGGAATGGAGGAAGTTCTTTTTTAGTCTCCTTATTCAAGGACCACATCTATCCATTCAACATTGTCAGTRGTGATGCATAGATTTGGTACTAGCCAACAACTCTATACAATAAAACTTCTGTTATTAACAGTGATCCTTACTACTAGTAGTACTAGCAGGGAASTTGCCATATCAGTGGTAGTTTTTACTACTTGCTGCTGATGATATTTTCCATTAGTAGCTACTACTAGAACTTACAACTGGAGAAAGGAACCTCCAACATATCATATAGTGTTGGCGGCCATTTTCTGGCCAACTGAGTCATACGTTAGGAATGCTCAATATACATACATKAATATTGATCAATATTTATTAGACACTGTACTCCCCCATGGCAKAAGAAGAAAGCTCTTTGAATTCTCTTTTTAACCATGAGCTTTCTATACTTAAGCATCCGTTGGGGAAAAAGTTATGGCTGTTCAAATGAGTTAAACCTCTTTTAGTGCCCTGTGTGTTTTCTATACTATGCGTCAATTTTGGGCTATCTTTTTACCATGTTATGACTCGTGGGATTAAAAATTTCACTTGTACTAGGCGTACAGCCCAGCGTGCATGTGCGCGCAAAACTATTTTGGTGCCGGGATTCAAAAATTCCAGTTCGGGTAAAAGTACTGAGCACGTGCATTTTGTATGTATATAAATTTTTTAGTCAAAGTACAGTAGTCATTACATGGAAATAAGTAGCCCAAAATGCACAACTGTATTGTCATACATCTGGCTGCCAACCCTATATGATAATAGTACTTCTTACAAGGCCACCACTAGCTTCGAATGGGAATGACATATTACTAGTGGTAGTGGTTAGTACTAGTGAGTCATATTTTAGTATTTTTCAAATGAAATAGTTTCCTGTACACACCATGAAAGAAGGAGAATCAAGGATAATTATTTCCCTTTGATTATCAGGATATTTTCAAATTGTTTCTTGTTTGCGGCTCTTGCTGTACCACTACTAGTAGTAGTAACAACAAAGAAGAGAAGCTACTAGTAGTAATGGGAGAATATAATTGCCTTTCCTTGTTTCTCTTTGTTTAGTACCCTTGTTTAATAAGGAGAAAGACAGAGAATTAAGCCACCAGCAGTACTAGTAGGYAAGAATATTTTCTTTGCTTTTACATGATAATGCTTTTTCCTCATTCAAACAAAGAAAACAAACAAATAGAATATTCTTGCCTCCTGGGTGATATTTTTTTTGTTTTTTTTAATGTTTAGACAGAGAGAAACAAACAGAATATTGCCTCTTCTTGTTTCTCTTTTTTTAAATGTTAATATGAAGAGAAACAGCACTCAGAAAACTTATGGGAATTTCTCCTGATTTTGGTGGATGGGAACTGTCTTCTGCAAACCACCACCAATGGAGGGTCCTGAAAACTGCAGGATAAGTGGTGGTTTCTACTAGTAGTGCTGGTGGTGCAAAAGGAGGATCTTCAGCAGTAATGAGAAGAAGCACTACTAATGGAAATTATCAAGGAGTAACTAGATACAAGGTCCACAGTAGGACTGGGATCCTGGTGACAGCATAGTAGTACAGTGGTTAAAATACAAAGGGGATGATAGTACTAGTAAGAATGGGTGTTGGGCTCCAAACCAATTGGTTCCACCAAGCTGGATGGATGAAAGAATGACACAATGATCTTCTCCAGGCTACTTTTTGTATACCRACGATTGTTGTTATCTCTGGTGGGAGATCAATCTCAAAGATTGTTGGCACAATTCAACCATACCTGGTCCCAGTTCTGACTCTGGGTGACAGTACCAGTTACACAAGTGAACACAAGGCAGAGGGTGAGATCACAGAGAATCTTGAGGTCAAGTGCCCAGCTGCATTAGCATTTGTACCAGTTGATATGAAGGGAGATGGCTGTTTGAGAAACCCTTTGGGACTCAACAATATTAATGAAGTTACCACATATTGAGGACGAAGAGGATGAAAATTATGCATTAAAGGCAGGGTGTTGGGCGAATGGGACCTTTTCAGCCATCAAGCCCTTCATAAAAATAAAAGAGAAGGCAGAGAGTACTAAAAGTAAAAACCCAAAGCATCAAGAGCCCCCCCCCCCCCCAGCCTGACAATACTGCTGGTGCTGCTGAGCGAGGGGGAGGACTCCTCGTCATCTTGACTTGTTCTTCTTGTTCTTTACTAAAAAATCCTTTTGGTTGATCAATCTGAGACTTCTGGATCACCTTGTTCTTAATAATGAGTTATTCCAGTATGTTTGGGWGGTGCAAGAGGGAAGTGTCGCTAAAGGCTCTGTCTGGAGGTTGAGACAAACCTTGTGCTGGTGTTTTTTTACTACTACAACCGATTCCAGATTCGTTTCCTCGTACGTACCGTAGTACCGGTCGGTATGACGAAAATGGCTCTCTTCCTTTGATGAATGAGTGAGGAGTCGTGCATTTTCATCCTCAGAGGAATTGATCACTTTTTGGTTGCGTYGAAGAAACCYAGAGAATAATTGTGCCAAGGATGTCAAGTTTTAGGCGAGCCCAATCCATATGTAAAGTTGGAGCTTATGTCGGATCTTKGTCTCATATCAAAGCTCTGTCAAAATCGAAGGAGCTTAGAATCGCCATGCTGAACTAAAAAYAATACTTTGCTGCCGTTGCGAGGAMAACCGGTCTTTGAGCTTATATCTAATCAGAGTCTCTTAAGAAGAATTGATAGAAAATGATTTCGCTCTGCCGATCTAGAAATAWTACTTTGGTCTATCTCTTAAGTATAGTAGGATTCTCTTCAAAAATTTCATATTTTAAAAGGCCTTAAAAATCGATCTGCYCAATTACAAATAGTACTTTGTCGATAAAATGTTGCATTTTCAAGGAATCTGTTCCCCAKTTTGTCTGAATTTGATCGCTTTCCATATGCATTTTCACRMATGKTTRCGTGGCTCTGTCGTTGCTCGTCKCTGAGAGTTATTATTGGCCGACGACTGCAGACGTGATGTGAAAGATGTCAGAGAACGCKTCAAGTACGATTCAGTTTTTGAGAGCTTTCTTACTATTCCTCCGCAGGACCCGAATGCATACAAATGCAAAATATCAAAAAACGTACGGTAGAAATACGTAGAMTTTCTACTCGAGTCACTCGCCGTGGAACCAAYATCTCTGGACATGTTGTGGGGTGTACCTACCGTGACGTGAAAGTTCATGTGTTCTCCTAAAAAGGAGAGTTGCCGTGAATCGATGGTGAAGKATAAACCTGCCCTCACACTATTTTGACTTYACAGTTTCAGAAAGCTAAACTTCCAAAAACAACAATTGCTACAATTTATATAAACCTCCCTGATCACGACCATGGCGCCAAACCGTAAGACACACGAACTATTCGCCACCAATGCTGAATTGGAAAGCCTTAAGRCAACCGTTCAGGCCAAGTATCTGCCACTGACTTCCGAAATCCAGAGGCAGCCACAGCCMCAGCCACAGCAGCAAGCACTGGTAACCGATCCAAAGACTGAGAAGCAACCACCGACGGTTTCCTATTGGGATTGGGCCCCGGACACGGCTGAGGAAGAGAAAGCCGAGGCCATCGATGATTTCTTCTCCCTTGCCCGTTTTGAATCCAACCTRATTTCGGATTCCCTACGAAGGGAAAGAAACGAGACCACGGYAGACGAGGAACCAACCGAAGAATCGCAATCGTATTGGGATTGGTCTGTCGGCAACAACGACACGGAAGCCGAGACGGACAGCCAAGAGAACGAATCGGTTCCCCAGCAAGACCACAAGACTGAGYGCCACGGTGAAGAGTGCAACGCGGTTGAAAACTATTGGGACTGGACCGGGGAGAGCGACCACGAGGACGATCCCTCGGCCTCTCGCACGGATCACCTCCACCGCCTCGTATCGAGTTCCCGAAAGAAGTACCACCGAAGACACTMCCATTTGCCGGAGCCAGAATGCCACGTATCGGATCCAGAAGGTTCCGCGGAGCACTTTTGGCACTGGGCGGAATTCCACGGCAAAGACGCTACTGTTCAATGACACGAGCAGCACTTTCAACCGCTCCACCGTGCCAAATATCTATTCATCCGGTTGGTACCTTATAGCTAATACTAGAACTATTTGATTCAAGAGCGCGCCTTTCCGAATTGTCCCGTCTTTAAATTGGTACTATTTTGTCGCTCTATTGCAATGGTTTCAATCCTATTTCTATGCTGTAGTTGGATCTGTCTTGTCTTGGTTTCTTTTGTAGCCTAAACCAGTTTCGCGTATAGATAGTGGGAGATCTGCRTTGTCGTCTACGCTGCCTTTTCTATGCTTAGTTCCACACTTGACAAATCCCTCCATTGATTCCACGCCTCTGTCTTCCGCCATCGGTTTTGTTTCCAAATTTAGCTCAGTCCGACAATCTTGATTTTTTAAGTTTCTAAATGTTCGAGTTGCTTTTTATCTCTTGCAAGTCAAAACTGGACGTGATACTCTTCTCGAAGCTTTTTCTACGTGCAAGCAATGCATTGTCAAACACGATGTGGTACTTTTCTCGAATCCAAACAGTACTTGGTCCTCTCCATAACCATCTTCAGTCGATTTATGCTAACATCATTTTGGAATYTTCATCACTCAATTTTACAGTATTGTATTTTGCTTTATTTTATTCTATTATTTTTTTGCTTGTTTTTTTTTTTGGGTAGCTAATACGGTCGATCGTTCGAGATCGCTGTATGAATTATTAATATCACCGTCCCACAAACAACGAAATGCTTCGCCCGCTTACTGACGATTACGAGTATRTAGTATTTTGCGCAATTTGTTGCCCATCACCGAATTGTTTTGTCGGCAACACCGACTACAGAATCCTGGCCTGCTTGATCCCAATGCGCTTGCGAAACCACATTCCGTTCCGGGTCGGAGCCGACATCAATCGTTCCACGGTTTCATAGCCAGAAACTATCGACGCAAAGCAAGGCTCCCCACGGTGCTCCTCGGTATTGTCTTTGGTGTTGATGTAAAACGAGGGGCTCCCATCCGCCGCAAATCCGACTGTGAACTGCTCGTGGGGATACTCATCCGAGTACTCCCGGAAGGCAACCGAGTCGAGGCCTAGCTTTGTGAAGGCCTTCACTTTCTTTGATGCAGATCCCCCGTCATAAGGCAGCGGTGCTGCCTTGATGACGTGCATCGCATTTAGGATGAAGGAGCATCCGTCGAAKAGTTTTGCATTTGCCATTTCCAAAAACGTGTACACCGAATGGGGCATTAGCTCAAGTGGAGCCATCTGCAGTACCAGCACGGTATCGGATGCATCCGCAAGCGAACTCAGCCTCCGCCGCCCAATGCTAGTATGATCCTCTTCGTTGTACATGTTATTGTTGTCAATGATGTCTTCAATRATGTTGTGGTTAATTCGATCCTCAGGGAAATCCAGGTCTATTTGGACGCGAATAATGCCTGTGCCATATTTGCGCCTCGCATCCCTCAAGCTGCTTGCCTGAATGTACTTCTCGAGCTGAGACATCTGAGACGTTTCGATTCGTAGTTTTTCTTTCACTGCCACAATCTCACCGAGTAGCTCACTGGCTGTTTCGCGTTGGTGATRTAGGTGGTGATTTTCGTCACCGCCATCGCTGCCRCCATTTGTTGCGGAACGGCGACGTTGCTGCTGTGGCGCTTCGTTAGTCTCTTCTCCGTTCYTTTCGACGCTGGCACCAGGCAGTCCCTCCTCATTCTCTGATGCAAACGTTCCGTCAGGGTCAAGGTCTAGCATCTGATCTCGCACGTCGCGCAGTTCCTTTTCAATGAAGTCGAAGTGGGCCGCGGCTTGTTGCCGTTCTTTCTGGGCATGAGCAATTACCTGGTCCAGCGTAAAAGAAAGGGATGCATACGATTGTCCGTGGGTGTAATAAATGGCAACCATTCCTGCTGCATATGACACACCGGTTAGTACCCAGAGTAGGATTTTGTTTTTTTTCCACCTCGAAGATTGTTTTCGTCTCAAYARGAACGGTTGGGATGAGACCGTTGCTATTGTACTCGTTCCTGCTGGTCTTGTTAATGCTTTCCTAAATAAATTGTCCGAATGCGAGCTCGAATTCGCAATCGAACCTTCGCCTTCCAGATCTACCAGGGTCAAGGACGACGATGACGATGTCCTCCTGATTCGTTGGGGATCATTTTCGCTCCATAATATGCTATGCGGCTCATTATCTTTCCTTAGGATCGATGTCGGTGACCKTGATTTGGCCTCATGCAGGGCCCGCTTGTGTGCACTTAAGGAATCCAGCTCCGAGTCGCTCCGACTCCCACCGCGACCGTGATGGATCGCGTTCTTAGTTTTGGTTCTKGGTCTGCTTCTACTTCTGTTTCGKCTTGAGCTATTTTTTACTGACGTAGGTATTCTCGTTTCGGWTTCGTCTYCCACCGGRGATTGGTGCGAGGARGAAGATGAATTACAGTTGTTCTCTTCCATTTTGTTGTTGCTCGTCACAGTCCTTGTGTCGTGTTCGTCGAGRTCAAAACCAACGCGGTGYTGTTGATAGTATGCTTCACGGTCTCCGTTGTCGACGACTAACGAGCCTGCGTTTCTTGTCTCTTCTTCGTAATCATGGTAGAATTCTATTTCGTCTATGTCTTCGTCGGATTCTTCATAAGGGACCTCGCGGATGATATGATCATCGTCCCCAGTCAGATATTCCATCCTCCGATGGTGCCGCCTGGCCAAGTTTGTCTGCCGCCGCCATTGATATTCTGATGAGTACAGTATTGGGTTGGAATGTGGTGGGGGCGAATAATACAGATTGCTATTGCTTTTATTGTTGAGTTGTTCTTCGTTGCTATTTTTTCTGCTGCTATTTCTCCAATAGTTCACAGGGGATTCATCGGTTTCTTTGAAATGGGAAGTTCTCGCTCTTCTCTTAGACATGCTTCGCGTCGCTGCTCCCATAGTCGATCAATGTGATGATGTCGTTACTGATATCGCTATCACTACTTTTGCAAAAAGACTGTCCGTCCTCATGAATCGATCAATCGGAATGGACCGACTAGAATGAATATTGCTCCCGCTGTTGCTGTTGTTCGGAAAGTACTGTGTATAGAAAATATTGGCCCAGACGCAAGGGTGGACAGTCCAGACGGTATATAGTAACACAAAAAAGCTATGGGGTCATTCAATAACACCAATATTCAGCGCTACTTCCTTATTGGAATTGATGAGAGTTAACCGTGAAGTAGCTGTGTCACCATGACAAGAGGGATAGATCAGAGAATGCGCTTCAGCTTGGAGCACGGCACTGGTACAGTACGTACTCATACTATTACGAAAGTATCGTCCACCTCTTTAACCTGCTGGTGGTAGTCATCCTACCGTACAGGTCAACCCGCTGATATTATGTCCTCCACGACTTCGAGGCTTATATGGTCATTTAGATTTTTTCCTTGAAGTAATAATGACCTTTGTCAATGTCCAAGATTGAGTCYTACCRGTATTTACGAATACGAATATTCGTGTACGCAATCCAAGTTGCTCGTACTGTAGATAGTAACAGTGGGATTACGATTAGGAGCACGTCGAGTAACAGCACCGTTGGGTATGATTTGTACCTACAATCTTTTTGGCTGCGAATTTGTCTGGTCCTTTACCTTAACGTTGGGGAAGACATCATTTGGGTCATTCCCGTTAATCTAGATGGTCGAAAAATCTAAACGGTCTACTTCAGACTTTTTAGTYTAACGGGAATAATTAAAAACAGGGCCCCAATGGACATTTTCTAGGGGCTCTTCTAGTCTTATAGGAATTTGGAATCTCATCAGAAATGATTAAGATTGGAAAAGCGTGTCTGCGCTTTTTTTGGGGTAATAATGAGTCATTGAACAGATTTTTTTGGTTAAGAATGAGTCAATCAGCAACGGATTTTCATTCTTGGATTCCGGTCTAGATTTAGACTTTCTGTCAAGCATGAATCCACCAGTGTTGACAGACAGTCTAAAAATTTGGACTAGATGGTGGTCTATTTTTGGTTTGTCTGTATCATGTCAAAAAAGTAGACCATCTAGATTAACAGGAATCACCCATTATTATTTCATAGTAGTAGCATTGCAGATTTTCTTCTTTCCTTCTTGTTCACAATACATTAGAGAAAGAAGTGCTCAAAAATTTGCTCCCGACCCTTCCTAAACAGGCTTTTTWACTGTAGTACATTTTGCGCAACAACAGAATATTTGGATTGGTCATGCTGCATGATACTACTGTAAAACAGTAGAATAGTATGAATATGAAGCAGGACGACTGGACCAATGCCAGTTATACTATTACTAATTTTAAGTGCTGTATATCTTTTTATGTAATGCAACCACCAACTCTGACCATTGAGTTTAATTTGAACCAATTTTTAAGAGACC